TAATTAATCCAAAATATTAAATATATTAATAAATAAATAAGAATCTATATTAATAGTTAATTATATTGCATATTTACAGAAATTAATACACACCAATATTATAAACAGAAATTCATGCATGATTGAAAAATCATTACTTATTAGTCATTACCTAGTACCTACCTATCATTATTAATATTAGTACTTATWATTATATTTTTATTCATTCTTGGAATTCAAGCGATCACTTGRTCGTAGTAGCGGCGTAGTGTCATGTCATTCATAAGCTCTTTGTATTTACTATTACTTAAGCTATTAAATATTTTATTCTTACTATTAATTGAATAATATTTGATATTATAAATTGTGTCACCAATTAGTTATTACCAACTAATTATATTCTAATAAGTAATAATTAATTGCATTATTATGATATTTAATATAGTTGTGGACCTTTATTTAAACAAATACACAAAAATAATTTAATTTTTTTATGGATTTCATTGGATGAAAGTATAATATAAATTCCTACAGTAATTAATTTTAATAAATATATTTATTTAAAAATGGTAAGACATTTATTAAATTACTATGTTATTTGTTAGCTTTAAAAAAGATAAGTATAATTATTAATTTTATATGAAAAAAAATCGATTTTTAAGTAAGTTAGGTAATTTTTATTTTCTATTTAACTTAACGAGTTAAAAAAAAAATAGTAAACTTGCCCAGCTTTGAATAATATATCACCTGTATTTCAAATACAATGTTTTATAAATAATAATAATGGACTAGTTGTATTCTTCAAGTTATTTTATTTAATATAGCAGTCAAATTGTGTTTTGTAATTAAATGGAGTGATAACTATTTCACTAGATTTTTCAAAATCATAATTATCTTAATATGAAAATGTTTTAAAATATTGATTTTATGCTGGTTATATAGGACATAAACTTGTTTAGTTTCCCATTATTAATAGAAAGCTATTATGAATTATTCACACCCTTTTTTTCTAAAAATGATTTATTTATAAAAATGTTGTTATTATTTAACATTTTTTTTTGGGAGGGGGGCAAAACCCCACTTACCWWCCTTAGATATGTCACTGTTATTCAAATTACTAGGTATGTCTTTTATTAAACTAATTAAAATATGCATAATAACATAAACATAATATTATGAATGCTTAATTTATTTCAATGATGCCATTATTTAAATTTTAAATTTTATAGTAAGTTATTAATGTGTAAAAATAATTTAAAAATACTTTTCAGCTGTGAAATGCAACGACAATTTCCTCGTGCTAGAAATTTTGGCAGCGCTTGGAATAAATTTTGATTGTGCTTCTAAAGTAAGAATATTGGAAAAATTAAATTTAACTATAATATTAATTTAAGGATTGTGTATTTTGATTAAATTATTTTTTTAAGGCTGAAATAAAAAAAGTTTTGGACTTGGGAGTAAATCCATCTCGTATAATATATGCTAATCCAGCAAAAATGGCTTCACATATAAAATATGCCTTGAGCAAATGCGTTAACCTGACAACATTTGATAATAAAATGGAACTGTATAAAATTAAATCCATACATCCATCCTGCAAGTAAGTTATAAATAGCTTAGTTTTGTAAGTATTTAACATAAAGTTAATATTTTGTTTCTTTTTTTAGCTTGGTTATACGGATTTGCTGTGATGCTACTGAAATAGAGCGTCCCCTTGGTATCAAATTTGGGTGTGATCCTTTAACAGAAGCACCATCATTATTAGCATTGGCTCATAGTTTAGGTTTGTCTGTAGTTGGAGTAAGCTTTCATCTTGGTTCAGGATGCAATGAACCAACTGCCTTTCAAAGAGCAATTGCTGCTTCAGCAAACATTTTCCGTCTTGCTCAAAACTTAGGTTTTATGAATATGTACTTGTTAAACATTGGTGGAGGATTTCCAGGAAATAAAAATTCTTTATTGAACAAAGTATACATATTATCAAAATGAAAATTTATAATTTTATTTTAAATTCAATTTTAAACATATATTTTAGATCGCTGACATAGTGAATGATTCACTTAATGAATGGTTCCCTCCAAATAATGGAGTGACCATCATAGCAGAACCTGGTCGATATTTTGTGGCTTCAGCATTTACACTCTCTACAAAAATCCATTCCATTAAAAAAAGTTCAAATGATAAAAATCATATCATGTATTTCATTAACGATGGAGTGTATGGTTCTTTCAATTGTATTCTTTATGATCATTCGGTTGTTGTGCCAAAAACTTTTTATGTGAGTTGGAAATGATTGAATTGTTTATGAAAAACTTATTTAATCTTTACTACCTTTAGGATTATTCAAAAAATCGTCCAATTYATGAGAGTTCCATCTGGGGCCCTACTTATAATGGTTTAGATAAAGTAGTTGATTTTGTGAATATGCCACTGTTGGATATGGGTGATTGGATTACTTTTGAAGACATGGGAGCTTATACAATACCTGTAGSTAGTACATTTAATGGATTCTCACTTCCCAAGGTTTTTGCTATCGCTAATCAAATAACTCGGTTAGTTTAAGTTTTAAATTTTAAATTTTTTAGTSTTATAGAGTGTTTAATACATTGATTATTTTTAATCTAATGATATAATTATTTTTTAGGAATAAGTTGAAAAATGTAATGCCTATATCTGACGACCATTTTACAACTGTGCCTATTGTTGCAACTATCAAAATGATTCAATCAGAATCCATTGAAGATGATGTATAAAATGAAAATAATTTGTAATAACACAATAAAATACATGTCTCTTAATTTGGTGATTTTTTTTTCTCTTGAACCATATGTTTTTAGTTGTATGATTATTTAAATAACTAACTCCAATTTATTTTGTTTACAAATATGTATATTGTCATTGATCAGAACCAACTAAATTGAGGCAAAATGTAACTTCCTATAATTATGATCATTTTTATTTTATTCCTAAGKAGTAAGAACATACAATTATATGCAAATAATTCATACATTAAATGATCTACCTAATGTTAGAAATGATTGTATTGAAAATTAAATGTTGTATTAATGCACAATGTAATACATGGTTAGGATAGAGTAAGTGAGGCTTTCTGTTATAAATATTAAAAATGTATATAATTGTTGAAGTACAATGATATCCCATGTACAGAAATTAAAGGTATATAAATGGTTTAATAAATAAGTATAATGATACTATGATGTATGTACAATGGTCTTACAAGGCATAATATAAACCCGCAGGTTGTCATTAGCGTATCACAATTTTTAATTATGATATTTTTGCAAAACAGTTGCGCATCATTCGATTTTTATATACATTGTTGGCGTATTGACTGTTTAAAAGGTTGCACATCATTTGCCCATTAATATTATGTAACAATAAAAATGAAAAATAAGGTGTGCCCCCCAAGTGCAAGCTGTTTTCTAACTTAGGTCTTAAAATTTGCTTATCTCCAAATTTAATCATATTAAATTTTATATTAAATTTTCAAATATTACATGTGTTTAGTGTGATATACCCTATACCAAGTAAAAATATAATTTTGTAACTTATATTTTCGAGTTTTTKATGAATTTTTTTAAAATTAAAACTTTAAATATTTATGTATATTAATTATTTTTAAGCTTAAAAATTTTAAATTATTTATTATCTATATAATATTAATATTACCTATAGATCATCTAATACGATTTTTATACCCTTCTATTGTTAGCATATTGATGCGCATTGAAGTACGATAATTTGGTTAAATTTAATACAATGCACAAATGATAATCGACCGTTACAACGTTGATGCGCAAACGATATACCTACGGTATTTTGGGACAGGTAAACAGACGATGCACAAATGATAACGGACAATACGGTCTATAAACCAACGATTAATAAATGGTTCTATCGACCACTACATTAGACAAAAAGCAGTAAGTGGGTAGGATCTTTATTTGGATAGGGCACGCCTATGCTTATAACATTTAGGTGCCTCGTTCCTAGAGAGCAGATAATATCTTCTGTCTCACAAAGGTGCCTGTTATCTCAACTTTTGTTATCACTTATTGAAATTCTGATATCTTAGCCCGCCATTTTTAAATCTCAAATTTCAAGTGTTAATCAGTTGAGTACAAACTAATTTTATTATTATAAAATCAAAATCAAAAACCATATATTATCCACAACAATTAGTTGCATATTTTCTGATTTGTGTAATTATTGTATTATTTATTTTATAAAAAATGGTTCATCGGTGTGTTGTTTGCGGRAGTAATGACAAAGATGACACAACATTATTTTTCCATGTGTAAGTATTTTTTAATTARTGGGAAACATGTACTTTCACATCATATGTATATAACCCTTTGTTTAATTGAGTAAATTATTTCTTATAGTTTTCTGAAAAATGATTCGAAAAGACGTATGTGGATGGAAAGTCTTAAATTAGACACAATTTTAAATTGGCATCGTGTGTGTTCAAAG